CCACACCTTGAACTCAGAGATCTGTCTGCCTCTGCCTCCCAGGCATTGGGATTAAAGGTGTGTACCACCACACCCAACTACTCCCTTTTTCTTTTTTACTTTTAAGAACTTTAACCTTTAGCCTGCATACATTTTTAACACACTAGATAGGCATTTTGAAAATACCTTGGCTTCAAAATTGAAGTCAAAAGGTATGCTACTTTGGAGAAGAGATTCTGCTTTTGTTTCCACAGAAAACGAGAGGTTCTGGATTTATTCAGAGTTAAGAAAAATCACCTTTGACCAAGGGAGGCCACCTGAAAAATCTCCGACAGGAATAGATGGCCCAGATGTCTGAGTTCTTCATCCAGAACAGGTTCAAGACTGCTGCCTGAGATGATCAAGACTCACAGGATACTTCAGTCAGGACTTGCTTATAACTCTAAATTTTCTTTAGGTCCCCATAAGATTGTCAGCGCCCCCAACCAGCAGGAAGTAGCCTGAAATACTACACCCACATTCCCAACAAATGGACTATGGGTATTTTCCTTTGTTTAAAAAAAAAAAAAGAGGGAAATGGTGCGAGAGAATTATCTGTATTCTGTCAACCATGTATTTTAATAAAACGCTGATTGGCCAGGCAGGAAGTACAGGCGGGTCAACCAGACAGGAAGTAGAGGTGGGGCAATGAGAATAGGATAAGACTAGGGAGGAGGAAACTCCCTCTGCCATTCTTGTGCAGACCACCGAAGAGGCAGCATGTAACCTGTCCAGCTGAGAAAGGTACTGAGCCCATGTGGCTAACATAGATCAAAATAATGGGTTAAGATAAGTCATAAGAACTAATAAGTAGCCTGACCTAATGGGCCAATCAGTTTATAACCTTATGGAGTCCTGTGTGTGATTTTTCTGGGATTTACTGGCTTGTTGGGGTACTGGGCGGGACAGAAACCCCAACAAGCCAGCCCTCATGTTACACCTGGAAACGTTTCTTATTCTGAGATTGAAGGACTGTCAGAACAGAATTGGAAATTAGGGAAAAGGCTGGGGCAGGGGGCAGCAGAGACCAGACCTTAGTTTGACTTCACTAGAATGGATCAAAGCTGAGTAAGCAGGTCTCATGAAAACCACAACTTATAGGTGACCATCAGCAAGCACCCCCACCAACCCTTCTGTTAGCTCGGCAGACCCCAAAGCCCCTCTGCTAGCTCAGCAGATGCCCCCGCCCCAGACTTCTGCAGGCTAAAGATAGCTTTCCCTACCCCGCTGCTGGAAGGTCCCTAACACTAGGACCTCCCGCCAATCAGCCCCCGTACTAATCTTTCCTCCACCAATCAATCCTAGATTAATCCCTTCTCTCTGGAATTTCCCTAACTCTGCTTAAAAGGAGCTTGTGACTTCTTTGGGGGTCGCCAAGCGCCACCCCAACATTGGAATTAATAAAGCACTCTTGTTATTGCGTACGTGGCTGTTGGTCTTCTTTGGGGGCTTCTCTCGGACCCTAACAATTAGGAGAAGTAATAGAATCGCCTCTTACAAGCCCAGAGTTATCCAAGTATGTCGGAATAATACTCCAAAAGACTGTTTGCCATATGGACCACCAGGCACTGGGAAATCACTCTTGGCATGAGCAGTTGCCAGCCAGCTCAACTGCAACTTCTTAAAGGTTGTAACTATTTCTATTATAGACAAGTATCTTGGTGAAAGTGCTTGTTTGATTAGAGAAATGTTTAATTATGCCAGGGACCACCAGCCATGCGTTTTCTTAATGGATGAAACAGATGCCATTGGCGGCCATTGGCTTTCGGATGATACATCAGCTGACAGCGAAATTCAGAGAACTTTAATGGACTTATTAAATCAAAAGGATGGATTCGATATTCTGCACAGAGTTAAAATGATCATGACTCCAAACTAACCAGATACACTGCATCTAGCTTTGTTGCATCCAGGAATATTAGAAAAATATGTAGATTTACCAAATCATCAAGCTCAGTTAGGTCTATTGAAACTCCACACAGGTCCTATTACAGACATGGTGAAATAGATTATGAAGTGACTGTTAGCCTTTCAGATAGCTTTAGGGAAGCAGACCTGTGGGATGTTTGTACCGAAGCTGGTATATTTGCAATTCGTGCCCACCGTAACTTTGTAGTTCAGGAAGGTTTCACAAAAGTAGTCAGAAAAGCGACTGATTCTAAGAACCTAGAGTCCAAACTGGACTACAACCCTGTGTAATTTACTGCGAAGCTTCTGATGGCTGCATCACAGACATTGGCTTACCGTAAAAATAAAGTTAAGGGAAACAATGTATGTAATGGCAGTGATCACATTCAAGGTGAGTGAGCATATATGTACGAGTGACATAAGAGCATGAACTCAGTAATCCTCTTAGAGTTGTATGTTTGTGAACATTGCTTTCTCTGCAGCAGAACTTACAGAAGACATGTTGAAGCCTTCCATATGTGTTTGTGAGCATTTGTGTAAGTTCAAAACGACTTGAGATCATATTTCTTATGACTTATTTTATATTTTTGTTTTCCTTGTCCTAAAAATGGAACAAATCTGTTTTAAATAAAATAAAAATAAAAAGTAAAATAAGAAGTGACTAATAAAATTATGCCACATGCATAAAAAAGATACATATATATACTCCAGGAAACAAAAATTACCCTTCGTGAGATCAATAGTATCACCAGCTGGGCGTGGTTGCATCATGTCTTTATTCCCAGACTTCCGGAGGCAGGGTCAAGAGGATTTCTGTGAGTTCAAGGCCAGCCTGGTCTACATAGTTAGTTCCAGGACTACATAGAGAAACCCTGTCTCAAAACAACAACCAAAGTATCATTATACACACTACACAAAGCCATAATCAAATTACAAGTTTAAGCAAATTGTCACCTTAACTAAGCTGCTTTCCTTTGAGGGCACCCACCACTTTGTTCCCTTCCTTCAGGCCAGCCTCCAGTTTCTGCCCATTTTGTATGCCCGAGCATTGGATCTGCCCACTTTCCTTCTGGTCCCAAACACCCCTGGTGTTGCTTTCTTCTGGAGCATCTGCCGTGCTAATATTTTGCTTCGGATTAACTAATGTCCTATTTTTGATTAATGCTACCATTTTCTTCCTGTTGTCCCCACCTCAAGCTGCTGCACACTGCTAGAAAAATTCACAGGACTTCTTGTTGCTGGGGCTCCCTTAGAGACTTGCTGTGAGGCTCACCTTTCTCATCCTGTCCTTCAAAGTAGGAAGAAGAAAACTCTCATTTAAAAATCTATGTGTTCATTTAATTTGAAAGAAGTTCATTGATCTAAGAGGCTATGTAAGAAGCTACAAACAGAACAAAATAAATGTTTTTTTTTAAAGCTGTACATGGTGATGCACACCTTTATCCCAGCACTTGGGAGGCAGAGCCAGGCAGATCTCTGAGTTCAAAGCCCTCCTGGTCTACAAAGTGAATTCCAGGATAGCTAGGGCTACACAAAGAAACTCTGTCTTAAAAAATCAAACCAAAACAAAGCAAACAAATAAACAAAAAATATTTTAAAAACAAAGAACCCATATGGAAGTCTATATATTAGACCTAACAAATTAATTTTGCTTTAAAATCTCAATTAAAATGTATTTATTTTATTTTATGGGTATGGGTGGTCTGCATGTAAGTCTTTGTGCCACCTGTGTGCTGGTTGCTCACAGAGGCCCCTGGATCACCTGGGACTGGAGTTACAGGTGGTTGTGAACATGGGGTAGCGGACAGTGAACCAAGGTACCCTGAAAGAGGCTGCTCTCTCTGGCTTCGTAAAAACAAAATCCCAACTATTGCATGTGCGTGTGCGTGTGCGTGTGTGTGTGTGTGTGTGTAAGAGAGAGAGAGAGAACACTAATTTCTCTTTCCTACTTGTTTTTGCTATAAATGAGATTATGCTATTTGGTGCCTACATTTTCCCTTTTTTTCCCATTAGGAATTGTGCTTATAAAATTTTATTTAAAACTTTTGTCCAGAAATCGACCTGCGCAGTGTTGCTAATTTCTTTTTTCATCTGCCATAAAGTGGTACATCTTTTCCAGTTTCCAAACTTCAGAATTATTTGAGCACTTTCTTGTAGATCATATTTTAGTTGACCGTCAATTTAGTGTGTTCGTTTGTTCTGAGGTCCATCTAATCCTCCGATTTTATCAGTTTGAAATAATTTTTACACCCAATTAAAGATGTTGAAAACACGTTTACACAAAGTCAGGGTTTCTCTGACCCTCCTTTGGTCTTTTGCTTCTTTTATTCTCTTCTGAGGCCCTAATCTCAACGTGTTCTTCAGTGCTATTTTGCAGCATATTGCCTACACAGATTCATTCTCAGCTTTTAGTATATAAAGGAATGGTTGGAAATGAATAACTAAAGCCATCGCTCTTACTCAAAAGTCATGAACCATATGGGATCTCAAAACCTTGCACCAATAGCGACATCTCCTGGTGAAATAAGAGGCAGGCAGAGGGGAGATGCAGTGTAGTCCTCCCGTCAGCAGGGTGCAGTGCGAGCCAGACAGCTCCGCTTTGCTTCCGCGAGTCACGCGCAGGCGCAGACGTGTGCTCCCGGCAGCCTCCGCTCTCTCTCACCCCGCGCGGTGG